CATCTCTTGCCTTGCAATTACACAACGTTTTCAGGACAAAATTGGTGCAAACCTTTCTTCAGGTTCATGTTGAATCTTTCAAGGCAAAGATATTTCAAATGAGATTCAGTGCCAACGATTGATTGATTATTGACCAGTTTAGTCGATAGCAAAATTTTAATATCAAATTAAGATTTTAGTCATCTAATCCATCAACTTTTCAGATCCATTCGAAGTTTCATTGTAATACATTGTCGATATTATAATGATCAATAATTCGAGCTAATAAATTATCAAAAAATTATCGATTCGTTTCGATGAATTCATTCAAAGAATTGTACTTTGACAATACATAATGACATACACTATCTTCAAGGGTAGTCGAGGTTGTTATCTCTTTGCTACGCTCCGATAATAAGCTCATCACTAGCGCTCCGATTTTTGGCAAGCGATCGTCTGAAGTAGTTAAAATTGAAAATTTCAAACAGTCGAGTCTAAAGTTCAAGAAATATATTCATAAACCAGAAGTTGCTTTTCCAGGAAAACTTTTAACTCGAAAAGATGAAAATGCATATTTCGATTTCGTCTTTTCATTCCCTTGAAAGCATCATTCACACTCAGTCAGCACTTAGTTTTGTTCAACTGTCTGAATCTTATATTGAAATTTTCCTGTTTTCACATTAATTTGAACATTATTTCCACGAGTCCAATTTTTCAATTTAAACGTAATATCTTGACGAATGGAAATGTCAAGCTGAAAATGGAAACTAAAGTAAACTTGAAATAATTGTTTTCCCTGGCAAATTATTTTGAAAGCCAAACAGGGACTAAGTGATTTTATCGCATGAAGAAAACATTTGTAACATTAGTAAAGAAAAACAAAGAATCTAAAAAATTGAATCCTCAAGCTTAATATGTATTTACATTGAATTAGATTTGGGCGAAGAGTAAAAGCAGTGAAATGGCAGAAAGAAAGGGAGATTCAGGAGAAGACACAGAAATAAAGACAAAAATAATATTCAAGGTAAAATGAAAAAGAAACTCAGGTTATTGAATAAGAAAAATCTACTTTTCTTATTCATCTTCTTGTTGAACCATTTTTTGCATTTTTACATCTCTCTTTACCTCGTCTTTTCCTCACCTTATTGTGAACAGTTTAAACAGTCTTTTCTCCATTCTCTGGATCGTCTTCATTCTTTCATTTCTTTTTCATCTTCTGGTTAAAATGATGATGATAAATGAAAGAGGCAACAAAAATGCTCATCCGAATGAATCGAGTAAAACGATGTCATGTTACTGTCAAAGAATGTTGAAAAATGTGAAAAATATGGGTTAACCTTTCTTAATACAATGAGAAGAGAAAGTAAAGGAAAAATTGTGAAATATTCAGAGAACATCATGAAACCTGGAAGAAAAAGGGAAAACAGCAAGAGAAGAGTTATAACAAAAGAGATAACTGAATAAGAAGGAAAATAAAACCTGAACTGAGAGTGAAACTTCCGGAACAGATAACAATTGGAATCCTTGACATTAAGTTCATCATTTTCTTGAATAAATCAACTCTTATCAATCACAATATCATCAAGATTATCACCGTTTCAATCATTCTCAATGTGATTCTTTTCCATGACATTTCTCTTAACAAAAACTTTTTTCACCTCATTTTGTCGTCTTCATTATTAATTTAAGTTTCAATCACAATAATTGTTTAATCAATTGAAATCAGCTGGAAATATTTACTGTCTAATGATAATTAATATAATCGTTTTTAGACTCATGATATCAATGGTTTTTTCTGGTGAAAGGAAACAAAAGCTTGTAAAGATTAGTCTGTAAAGAGTTGATGGTGATGATAAAGATGAAGGGGTGAGAAGAGGCAAGTTTAATTTGGTTATAATGCAGGGAAAAATAGAAGGTCAGAATCAGGGAAAAGGGTAACATTCAATGTTGAACCAGATTGTTTGGGTTTAGTGACAAGCAAAGTGAAGGGAAAAGATTGGGCAAAGTCAACCAAATGAAGATGAATGCGATGATGTGATGATGGAAAAGGATGAAAATGAAGATTCATTAGGAATCGCAGAAATGTCTAAATGTTGAAATTGGTCTGAAATATCGCCTTTTCAATGGAATGAAATGCTTTGAGAAAAAAAACAATTTAATTCATTCCAACTGGAAACTTTCATTCTGAGCAAGTGACAAAAAAAGTTAGCCTCAACATTTCAAGTAATTAAATTATCGGTAAACTTAATTTTCAAATTCATCAATTTTCTTCTCTATTCAAAGAGATTAGCTAATTTCAGGTGAATTTCAATGTACAACCTTTAGAGGTTAAATGAACACTTTTTCGATATCCAATCTGTTCGAGACTGAATTGGAATTAGAATTGAAATTTTTTTCTTTTAAAATTTCAATGAACATGAAGATTAATATTGAATGTTTTAATCTTTTGAATTCATTTACAATTGAAATGATACAATGGTTTGTTGGCTCGTATTGAAAATAATGAAATAATTGGTAAAAGGTTTTCTTCTTTGTGTAAAGTAATTGATGATAATGCATAGTTAATTAGTTAATTATCAATAACAAGAAAGGTTGATTAATTAATTAACTTGGTTTAATGTTCATTCCTTTTCCTTGCCTAAAGGTTAATTCAGTTGTTGTTTTTTGTTATTCTGTTATAAGATATGATTTATTGTTTTCATTATTTATTATCATTTACTTCAAGTTTAAATGTTTTGCTTTTGTCAACACAAACCATTGTTGACCCTGCATTCATATTAAAAGGTATTAATCTGATTAGACAAGAGATTGAATACTTGACATTAAATGAACCGATAATGGATTCTCATCTTTACTGGAGAAACGGTTCATCAGATGAAAAACAATGTTCTGATATCAACACATTTGAACAGTTAATTATTTCAAGGTGAACTCAGTTTAATAATACTGAAACAAAAATAAAAATGAATTAGAAACTGTGGTTGAAGGGTAATCGATTGAGTGTGAATTAACAGTTTATTCAAGAGTAAGAACTGATTCAGGATTTGAGGTAATCAACAAAGTGTATTTGGTCAAGAGTCACGAAAAGTTGTGAGCAAAAGAGGATGGAAGACAAAGGATTTTGTTTAGTTTCATGAGGATTCAGAGAGAGAGAATCAAAATGACAATATGAAAAATCAGGAAAAGGGAAAGAACCAAGTTTTCGTTTCACCTTTACTTGATGTATGCATTCATAGATGAGAATCAAGAAGATGGAGAAAAAGGTAAAAGATGAAGATGCAAGAGGAAAGAAGTGAAGATGATTAAAGAAGATATTGAAGGTAAAAACAAATAGAGAATGGGAAAAGATGAAAAGAGGTTGAAATAATAGGTTTTTATCGGAATTTGGGACAGAAATTGTCATGGAAAAAAGGGAACAAGAAAAAATTGATTTTCTCGATAAATTGTTAATCAACATTGATAATGAAGGAAATGAGGTTCAAAGTGAAGCCTGTGCATAACTCGCATATTTTCATGTTAATGTTCCCTCACTGATAATCATCTAATCCATGATTAGATAATTGAAGGATTGGGTAAAAACAAACGGATAAATCAATGGATACGAATGAACAAAGGATCAACATTTCTCATTATTTTTCCTCTTCTCCATCATGTTCACCTTCAACCATTCATGTCACATTGTGTGTCAAATGATGATACAAGATCATGTAATCGATGGTTCGATTAACTTGCAATCGATGAAAACTGACTTTTCCTTTTTCCTCTTCTTCTCTTCGATTCTTTACATCAGATCATGTTGTTTAATCATGATGCTTGCATCTTCATGTTTCTCATTTTTCACTTTACCCAGAGTAGGTTGAATGACAGATTTGTTTTGAACTTGCTGCACTAACTGTACATTAAAAAGCACACAAAAGGCAACGATTGATTGTGTTTAATTTGGTTAAACTGGAAACCGGAAAATGAGACAATCTTTAGCATTAGGTAAATGGCAATAAATGAAACCATTTGTTGGTTCTAATATTGAACATTTAACATGATAAAATGTATAGAGACTGGGAAACCAGATGAAAAAGGTTAATACTAAATGTGTACATTTTGTTCATCTTATTGTTGAAAGTTGAAAAACTTTAAATTTATTGAATTGATTTTTGCTTTTCTCTTTCTTTTTGGACGCTTTATTTCATTTCGCCATTGTTCATTGTTCATTTCCCTATTCATTCAATGTTCACAATTTTTTTATTCACCATGTTTGCTCATTGTTAATCGCTGTAAACATTTCATGTTATGGATCATTATTATAGTCATCAACATTCTTACCCTTCATTTTATCCTCTAAATCCTTTCTTTTTGTATTCCATTCTGTTTCAACTCAACTCATTATCATACTGTCTGGGTTTTAATCAAAACTAAGCAACTTTTTAATTTCCTCGTTCATTTTGCTGTCAGGAATTGGATAAAAAAACCAAATTGAAATGAAATTTTTGAGATAATTTTGAAGTCATTCTTGATAAAAGCAAATGAATGAGAGACACAATTGGTTAACCAGTAAGGTTGACAGAGATTAAAGTTGGATAAGATCAACCAATGACCGGTTTTTAGGGTCAAAATGTGCAGAAGATTGACATTGGGGAAAAGTTAAAGGCTATCAACAATTGCTTTTACTGATTATCTTTGGTCGTTTGAGTTTGGAGTTTTGAGTGAAACAATTTTTGCCATTATTTTGGTCGAAATTCAGATTCCGTTCTGTGAATTTTCTGGTGTAAGCTTCTTTAATGTATTAAACAGTTGGCAGATTGTTTACTCTGACATTAATCAGAATTTTTGATTTTCTCGTTATGTCTGTGATTGTTATCGATGTCATCAGTGAAATCACTTTTTGTTGGGAGGTTTAAGGTAAAATGGGATATCTTGAAGGATCTAACATGAAGGGTTTGACATTAAAATTGATTAAAAGAAGGATGAAATGGCTGGAAATTGGCAATCAAAGGAAAGGATTGAATAATTGATTTTAAACTTACCTATCTTAACCACTCTAGGAACTCCGGATACACTTTTAACCATTGAAACATTACCAACAACAAGAAGAGTATAAATAATTTTAAGTAATTGAATAACCATTAGACAAAAATTGGTTTCAATTTGAAGCAACATTTTCACCTCTTTTCCTCCAATTGGCTTGTATTTAACTGTAACTATGGTTGATGGATTCTAGCTACAATTAATATTAGATGTAAACAGTTAGATTTTAAATTTTAATGTTGCTCTTGAGTTGATGGCGGTGTTGCTGTTGACTTATGAGATTGTTTCTTGTAACTCAAGTCAACACTTGATTTGATTTAACTTTGAGACATTCAATTTAGTAAATGGTCTTGTTAACAGTAAATTGTAAATTTGTTAAATTGTAGATTAATGATTGTAACATGAAAAAGAGGGAAAAATTACTAATTAAAGGCTAGAAAAAAAATGGTAGCACATTATTTTTATCCAAAAGATTGTTGTCTTTTGCATCTGCTGAGAGTGGAGACAATTGAGTTTGTTTCAATTAATCCAATTTACAGGTTGATATTGTGGGTTACATGAGCCAATTGGTTAAACTAGTTGCCGTGTTTAATCACAAATTGTAAATATAAATCCATTGGAAACTTTAATCAACATTAATGAAAAAATCACAATAAACAGAAAACAGTTTGTAAGGGCTAAAACAAGGGTTAACTATAACACATATCGGGCAAGCTCGACCCTTTTCTTTCACCAAATTTAATTATTATCTCAAATTCTGCTTCTGATTCTCCAACGAAAATCAAATTCTCAGAACCTTCAGAGCAGCTGAGACATTGAACAGTTGAGAAACAGTTTATCTGAAGGGAAAATAACGAATAGAAAAGTTTTCATCCAAACGAACCATTTTTGAACCACCAAAGTGTATTTAGTGTCGACCTCTCTTAACAACTTTACTAACCTTAACTGATAGTTGAATATACACTACACATTACTGATACATTACATATCATACATTTCGTGTACATGTATAAACAATAAACAACATGATGATATCACCTGTAAAAGGACTAATTGATATCCTGAATATTTATGAAATAGGAATCCGATCCTTAATTTGTAATGTCCTTACAAAGAAACTTCACGGAGAATAAAAACTGATTTTGATGTTCTATAGCTCGAAAGAGTTCGTCGAGTAAATAAAGAGTCTCATTTTTTAGCTGCTGATACGAACCTGAGCAAAAGTTACAGGGTATCCTATCGAAAATTTCAGGCCACAATATATAAAATCCACAGGGCTATTCAGCTACTTAGTAAGATGAACGCTAATAACTCTGCAACCACTCTGCTTCTTTCACAACAAGTTGATTTTTCTTTGAATTCTGATGGATAGTTAGATAAACATTCACTGGAAACTAGAATTTATCATTTTTCATATGAAAAATGAATTTCAGTACTGATTGAGCCCCAATGTGCGTAAAAATGCGAATTTCCATAAAAAGTGAAAATTCAAATAACGACGTTCGGAAACTTAAATGTCAATAACTCAAGCATGGTTGATGACAGATTGTCACAACTTGATCAGTAAGACTTTCCGTCTTCAAAAATGATGTTATGACCTCAGATTGACCTCTAGAAGCAGCAGCGATTTCCAAAAAATAGCCTTTAATTACCTTGTCCTTGAAACATAAAAAACAAATGTCGCTCAAACTCACTATATTTGATTCCCAGGCTGATAGTATCTCTGTTTGTAGAGTTATTAGCGTTCAACATCTTACTAACAAAAGTAAGTAGCTGAATCGCCCTGTATTTCACAAAATTACAGTACACGCAAAAAGTTTAAGAATGGCGATTTTATTTCAATAACTCAGCCATTCTACTTGAAAAATTTATCAAAATTAGCGCAGTGTTCTCAGCATAATTAACAATAATTAACTGAGAAGTTATCATCAAAAATAAATTACATCACGAGATTTTTTACCTCAAATCAGCTTTGCAATTCGCAAATAAGTCCATGACCAACCTTTTTTCCCAAAGAAGCCCATGTTTAATTAAATTTACAAATTTTATTTGAAAAACTAATGCGAATTTCACCAAAATTCGCTAATTATGTTATCAAATGATGAATGAAAATTGGATAGAAAGTCATGAAATCATCCTGATTGGTTAAGCAAATAAATCGAAAATTTCTAAGCTTTTGTTACTTTTATTTTAACGAGTTTACAATTAGAATTGAAGAAGCCGGTTTCCTTCGAGCTTTCCTTTTCTTTCAAGAAATTCGATGGCTGCTTCGAAGGTAGCCAAATCTGGGACGAATTCTGGGTCGTGTATTAATCCAAAAGATGGGGCTTGATCATCTTGATTACCTAGGATGGTCTTCCTAGGTGGACTAACTTCAGGACCTTCAGTCACAGTAACTGGCATTGGACCGTCCATATAAACTTTCATTAATGGAGATATGCCATCGTTTCCATCGCTTGCTTGAGGATCTAACTTGGTTTGACCACTCATTGGATTAGTCAAGCCATTCGTTGGCATACCAATAATTTGCGTAGAAACATAATTAGTTGTTGTTAAAGCAAAAATAAATAAGCTTAAACACATTTTAAAATTCATTTTGAAATCGTTTTTTAACTTTGTTTATCTCGAGTTGAGATAAATTGATGATTTACATCCATCCGAGTTGCGAGTTTTATAGTAACCTAACCTAACCTAACCTAACCTCAAAGGCATCTGATCAAACCTATTACTGTTCTGGAAACGGAAATATATTCATTTCTTTGCATTTGCTGTGTTTGTTTTTGGGTTTACTTTTGCAAATTAATCAGACTAATTTTTTACATTGAATAAAAGCATGAAACGCAACAGTTTCAGAAATGTCAAAGCAATATTTGTACAATTGTCTCACTTGTCAGTCCATTCTTGACTTTCTACAAAATAATTTTTACGGAATTTTTACCAATGAATAATATATTCTCTTGTACTGGGTTACTGTACTACTGTAATTAAATGGTTAACTAAAGTAAGAGGCTGTAAAAATCGTATTTTCCATTCGAGTTTCACCAAGATTTCAGGAATTAAAATTAAGGCAAAAGGAATTTAATTGTCACTGAGTACAAGAGAATGTATTAATTCATTGGTGAAAATTCCGTAAAAATTATTTTGTTTGATCAAATGTTGAAATAAACAATGAAAGTAGTAAACAAACTCTAAAAAGATGATATTATAATGCTAAATCAAGTCCTTTCATTGCTATCAAGTGGATTAATTAGTGGAATAATTAGTGATTATTAAGTTTAATTCATACATCAATATTTATTGTTCTTTCCAGGCTGCTCTTAATATGCATACTCAAACATACGCTGATCATGTCAAGAAGCATGGTGTTACTAGTGTAATAAACCTGTCCCTTGGTAGTTACCTTTTGACTAAGGCAATTCGCAACATGAATTTTTTAAATATTTATGAAGTTATACTGAAATCAAAGTTTTTGATAATCAATAGCAAAACGCAATTTTAAGATAGAGTAAACTGAGTTTTGAGTAAACTATAAAAATGTTTGCTTTCTGGTTCAAGCTTAATTTTTCAAATCAAACTAGCCACAAACTTAAGTCAAGCTTTTATTATCGGTAATTAAAATGCCACTTGTCAATGACAAGTTTTCATAGCTTAATTCATCAACTTTTGCAGGAGATTCATTCCTTTGAAAAATGAATAAGTTAAACTTTCATTTACACTTGACCATGTTTTAATTTATTATCATATTTGGTGGAATGATAGAAGTTTTTTTGAGCCATCTTGCCTTTATGCTTGAATCTAGAACCAGATTTTATAAATGTTTGCTTTTCTGATCACTAAACTCCTACATGTATCTTTTACGAATTTCATGTGAAGTTTATTGAGATCTAAAACTGTTGCGTTTTATGCTTTTATTCATGGTAAAAAATTACTTTCATTAATTTGCAAAAGTAAACCCAAAAGCAAACACAGCAAATGCAACAAGTATTGAATATATTTCCGTTCCCAGAACATTAATAGGTTTGAACAGATGCCTTTGAGGTTACTATAAAACTTACAACTCACAAGAGAGCTTCAGGCCGCAAATAATTATACAAAATGCTGACAAAATTGCGGATTTTGTCAGCATTTTGAAGCAATTACAGAAAGAGAAGGAAGTAGCTCAATTGTTTTTACTGATGTTGAAGATGATCCCCAACGACGACGGCCAGATATTTCTTATGCTGGAAGAGAATTGAACTGGACTCCAAAAGTTTCTTTAAAAATTGGACTCAAGAAAACTATCGAATATTTCAGAAAGGCAATGTCTAATTTAAATGAAAATTGACGAGTAAAATTCATACATTTCGAAATTTCTTATCATCAAAGCTCTACAACCTAATCAACTTCAAATCAAAATATGTTTATTGAATTAGCAGCTAGAAATTGATTGTGATGTTCAAATGACCACACTAATGCTTGATGTGATCTTTACTTGATGTTATGTGCCAATAGTTAGCTAATAATATCATTGGATTGTAAATTTAAACAGAAGCTGTCCGACGACTAAATCAACCTTCTCATATAAGAATCAATCATTTCTTAGCCTCAATCCAAATCAAAAGGAGCCACTTAAACAAGATTTTCAAAAAGTCAATTCTGCGATCCACTTCTATGATAAACTTTCATTAGAGTTACAATTTTATCATTCCAATTGTATTTGAATTGTCTTCTTCATCTTTCATTTTATTAAATATAACGCAAATCTAGTTTAAAAGATAGATTCATGTGTAAAATTTTAACTTCAATGTATATTTGGCCAATACGCATACCTCGCAATCAATAAAGGCTTTATTTAACGTAAAATTTAATTTGTAGTCATTATTTAATAAATGTAAATATTTTATTATTCTATCACTCATTATATTGCGAGCTGTTTGGTCAAATTTTTGTCGATATTTAAAACACTGGTAAAGAGAATGAAACATTAAAATTAATTTTTTTTCACAAAACATTACGAATCCAGCAATTGTGATCTTTGTTCAACTTTCCAACGGTGATAATTTTTCCTTGAATAGCTATTCGGTTTTAGAGATTCCGGGCAAGGAGGCCAATCACGATGAGTTGGCTATAACTGGACATGTAGGTCAGGTATTATCTAGACGGTGAAAAGGTACCTTTGTAATTGATTTGATTAACCGATTTGATTTAAATGGCTTCATGCGCCATCTTTTATTCATCTTACAAGTTGATTGATGTAGAAGTTGTTATGGTTACAATTTAATGCTTTCTGCTGATTATTGTTTTGGTTTTGTTTCAAATGATTAAATGCTTGTTCTTGTGTCATTACAAGGTTTAATTGATTAGTAATTGTATCAGAATTGTATCAATCGAAATTTCAGTTTTAGTTCAACTCGATCTTACACCACAATATGTCTTCTTGGAGTCAAATTCAATCATCATTGAGACATCCTAATAATCCTGTTGTGTTCTTTGATATTGCAATCGGTACAACTGAAGTTGGTCGGGTTAAATTTGAACTTTTTGCTGATATTACTCCTAAAACGGCTGAAAATTTCAGGTAACTGTTTTTTTTCTTGATTTGACCCAGATTGATATTAATTTTTGTGTCTACTTTTACTTATTTTAGACAATTCTGCACTGGAGAGTACAAAAAAGATGGTGTGCCTATTGGATATAAAAATTCATTCTTTCATAGGTTTGTTATATTCACTAAACTCGAATTAAATGTATATTCATTACTCAAAAACTTTGATATCCAATAATTCTAATCAGTCATGTTTTTCCTCTAGAGTGATAAAAGACTTCATGATCCAAGGGGGTGACTTTGTCAATGGAGATGGTACTGGATTAATGAGTATTTATGGAGGCAGATTTCAGGATGAAAGTTTTGATTTTAGCCATGATTCACCAGGGCTATTATCAATGGCTAATAGCGGCAAAGATACTAATGGGTGCCAATTTTTCATTACTTGTGCTCCTTGTGAATTTTTAGATGGCAAGCATGTTGTTTTCGGACGAATAGTGGATGGATTGCTGGTCATGAGAAAAATTGAAAACGTTCCCACTGGCCCTAATAATAAACCTAAAATCCAAGTCATGATATCGCAGTGTGGAGAGATGTGAATGTTATTTCAATATTTTCAAAATTTTCTAATTTTTTACCGAAAACACGGTTTCATTTATTCCCATTGTTAAACGTTTGATCTCTTTTAAATATCTAGGTCCGTTTAGTTGGACAGCAAAACTTCATCAATGACAAATAAATGATACGCTTGAAGTTCATTCAATCAAATTGCTATATTTTATTGGAAAGGATTTACAATCATGCTCTATAGAGCCAATTGGTTATAACCAATCACTTCTGGGTTTAGTAATCTCAATATCAGAAGGGCATTTTCAGGTAAGGGTATACAAAACCCCGTGAGCTGACTTCTTCTATTCTCAAGTCTCAGCTAGCTGAGTCGATATTCCCGCTGATCATGATAATCGGCCTAAATTTAACTGATTATGGTTTGAATTGTTTAGATTATTGTAGTCAGGACTATGTTTAGCTAGTTCAAGTTGAATTAAATTTGATTTGATTGTATTAACTCATGTCAGCCATGAAAGCTGATGCCTTAATTAAACTAGTTTAGACTTGAAAATAGAAGAAGTCAGCTCACGGGGTTTTGTATACCCTTACCCATTTTCAAGTGTTTAACAGCAGAGAGAATCGGATATTTTCTCTTGTCAGTGTATTTTTAAAAACCTATGAAGCTTGCATTATGAAGATTATTTACTCATTAATTAGCAAATCTAATTAATTTTGTTTCTGTTCTTTTATTGGCATTGAATTAGAAGAGTTGAGATCTGAAAAACTCGATGAATTATTAGGGTGTCCGGCTCAATGTGTCACACTTTTGAATGTGAATATTTTATTGATGAGTGAACCAATTTAGCCAATTCTTTTGAAAATCATATAAATAGAGATTCAGAATTTTTTTGACACGTCATTAACAATTATCCGTTTTCTAATTCGAAATATATCGGGAAAAATCGAAAAAAATGAAATTTTATGCGGCTCAAAATCTTATCAAAAACCAAGGGTCCCCCCTGTGATTTGCTCGCGATAGAAACTTTTTTAATCGAATATTTCTCGAAAACTTGAAGATCAAGAGAAAAACTGAGAAAAATGATTTTTAATCAA